ATACTAGTAATATCAACCTCATAAATTCATTGGAGTTCCACCCGTGATATGAAAAACACTAGTGAGAACATATTTCAAGACCGCGAATATCGCGTTTTCATCTAGTTTTACGCCACTTCACGTAAAACAGGTGAAACTCCATCACGTATTAATATCAACATACCGTAATTCCAACTGCTAATATATATCGGGTGATACAGTGTGAACAACCAAACCGTTATTATGCAAAGTGATATTTTTCAACACCTTTAATTTCCGAGAATTTGAAAGTCAACTTTGAGTAATATCAACATGATAACAATGTGAATCGATTGACACCAACGTTTTAAAAGCGTTCCGTAGTCTATATTCGTATTACTCTCGAATTGGAAATCTAGATATGCATTACTGTTTGGTTCACACAGTAATCTTTACGTATACGAACAACTACATGCGTAGCACAGATTAACCGGAGTTTCACCGGTGATATTAAAAATACTAGTGAAAAATATATTTCATAAAGCACTGCATAGCACCAATATCGCGTTTTTCACATGGAGTTTTACGTTACTTTACGTAAAACGGGTGAAACTTCAATGGTAACAGACCGTAATTCGAATCATCAATAGAGTTTCACCACCCGTTTTACGCGAAGTGGTGTAAAACTCGGTGAAAAACGCGATATTCGCGGTGATATACAGTAGTCGTGAAATATGATTTTCACTATTGTTTTTCATATCACGGCTCGTGAAACTCCATTAATATACACTGAAAAATACTATGGCCGTATAAAAATGAAAATTCCCAATCTCACATATGCATAACTGATTCTTACATGCAACTAACTTCGTAGTTTCATCGCACACAACGGCCGTACTCGCCAGGAACATCTCGCCGGGTCGCGTTCGCGCATATCGCATTGTCAATACCAACGCTGAAAATGAGGGGGGAAAATGGTGAAAAATATGAAAAAATTTCGGAGGAAATTCTTATTGTTTTCTGTACATTTCTACCCAAATTCGTATATAAACTTCTATAATTAGCTTTGGAAACTCGTGAGCTCAGCTGAGGAAAGCGAACAAATATTCCAATACTCCAACACTCAGAGATGAAAAACAAACTAACGAATGGTTCAAGTACACTGGCGGTTCCTCGCCATTTTAGTGAGGAAAAATTTCGGAAAAATTACTACAACGACGATTCGTTTTAATTCGAAATTCCGACAAATTTTCAAATATCCGAAATACATATTTCAGATATTTATTATTAAATAAATATTTTTCCGAAATCTCGCAAAAAAATCAAAAACTCTCCGGTGAATATCTTAACTGTGTGCTTCGCATTTTCTATTTAGGAAATTTCCCGCAAAACTTCGAAAAAAGAATTTTCAACTCGAAACAAAAATCCCGTTACCTGTGTTCTGCGCTGTGAGCACCAACAGCGATAGATAACGCGGTTGCAATAGCCGACTGATGGGCATCATAAAAAGGGAGGAACAGAAAAACGACACGAGACTGTCAAGGAGAATCTTTGGAATCCATACAAGCACAAATCAATCTCAAGATACTCCAAGATTTCGAACACAATTTTCTTGTGGAATTTGGAAATTTTGTTTTCAACCGTACCTTTGATAACTTATAATATTACCGTACTCATCTTTATGAACAACATTCAGGGGTCTTCGCCATATTCTGTTCATTAAAGCAAACGCCACCCAAATCCTGGAAAAAAATAGGAATTTTTTCCCAGAAATCGATGGATTTCCCATCGAAAATATAATAGGG